AGATGCCAGCTTCTCTCTCCACTCAACGCTCTTCTTGCTAAGACAGGGCATTCCTGCTGACAGAACGTGTAACCATTCACTTTGGTTTTAAAATGTTCTTTTTTATAGCAAGTGTATTATGTTATCTGCAGCTTAGCTACTCAGCATAACACTGCTGCTATTCAAACAAATAAATCTCACTAAGCCAAGGAGAATGTGGTAAAGGATATCCAATTATTTTATCTTTCTTTTCTTGGGGAGGAAGAAGGGGTGCTCAGGTCTCTGTCTTTTCAAGTGTATTGTACAAATCATCTTAACCTGTGTTTATTGTTTTGATTTTCCTATTAAAGTTTAAATTGTCTTTAGGTTCCTTAGTTTTCTCTGATTCTAAACTCCTTAATTAACTCCTATAAGGGGCCCAAGGTCACAACTTGATGTTTTGCTTTTGTCACACCTTGTGTCTTCTTTGTCTGAAGAATTGGTTGCAATATTCGCTGTTGAGTTTGTACCAGCTGATGGAGGTGGTGGTGAATATTTACTTTCTTTCATTAATTAGTTTCCCTTCTTAAGAGACCCATGAAATAATGTGGCCTGGTACTAGGGTCATTTTATGGTGCTTTCTACTGCTATTTGACTTTGGACGAGATGCTTCTTCATTCTGAGCTTCTTGGCCCTCAGTTTGAAAAATGGAGCCGTATCACAGGTGACATCTATTCTTTGAGCTAGTGAAAAACAAACAAGTGAGTTTAAAATTTGTCTCAGGATCCTAAAAAAAAATTTATTTTTAGATAAGGCTATCTATTTAACTATAGTAACTATTAAAACAATACATTTTAGGGCACCTGGGTGGCTCAGATGGTTAAGCGTCTGCCTTTGGCTCAGGTCATGATCCCAGGGTCCTGGGATGGAGTCTTGCATCCGGCTCCTTGCTCAGCGGGGAGTCTGCTTCTCCCTTTCCCTCTGCCTCTTCCCTGGCTTGTTCTCTCTGTCTCTCTCTCTCTCAAATGAATAAATAAAATCTTTTAAAAAAAATACAGTTTATTGTTTAAACAATATATATTTAAAACAGTATAATATTCTCTTGCAATTTGGCTTGGTGCAAATTTAAATCAGCTAGTAAATTTTGAAGTAACTGATTCTGGTATATTTTAAATCCTCAAATACATTATAATTCTTTTAATATTATTATCATTATTATTTTAAATAACTTTCAAATATAACTGGCAAACTAGGCGTCAGAGTGACTGCAAATGAGGAAATCTGGAGTTTATTTCTCATTTAAAATCTTCATATTTAAGATTTAATGATTAATTACAAATGAGTCTGAAATTTTCCAAAAGTTTCTGTAGTTGGGAAGATATTTTAAACCTTTCTATTTATTTTAACACATAATACTTTTCATAGCATAGCTTTGTCTACAGTTACTATTGTTGTGGTGTTTATGGCTGTGACTAAGTACCTGAAGGGTCTGTCTGATTGCCCAGTGCATGCATGCCTTCCCCTTTCCTTGTCACAGCCCACCACCATGCCATTAAGCTTGCTTCATACGTAATCCCTTAAGTGTTAAAAATAACAGCATGCATCTCTTTTGGGTTATTGGTATCAGCTTTGTTTTATACAACATGGATGTTCAGGAGTTGGTTGCATTCTGGATTGAAAAAGTCCGCTCAAATCTTTGTTCATTTGTAAAAAAGATGTGGAGATCTTAAAAGTCCAATAGCGTGGTTGCTCTAGAATTACTGGAAAACATAAAAGAGCAATATAAAGTACAAAACTATATACATACTTTAAAAAAGCAGTAAATGGAAATTAGGTTTTTTTTGGCAGAGTGGTTGGTGGGAGAGATTTTAATCATTACTCATCCTATTTTTGCAGCAACTGTATCTCATCAGGTCTAAGATGCTGTTGATTGTAAGATGCATCCCAGTTTCAGTGACATTAAAGTATTTTAAACATGTGGCTGTAGAATGGATGAAATGTGGTAAATGCAGATTCTCTGTGCCCCAGGACCTCTGGGAAACTTTATACCATGTAGAGCAAAAGTCAGTATGTGCTGGGTCTGTATTAGCTCCTTTTTTTTTTTTTTTTAAAGATTTTATTTATTTATTTGAGACAGAGAGAATGAGAGACAGAGAGCATGAGAGGGAGGAGGGTCAGAGGGAG